GTGAGATCCGGCCCGTGGGGCTGGCGCACTTATCACAGGCCGTCGGGGCCTCCAAAGGCAGCCTCTGAGTGTGGAGCTCCACGCTTGGCACCCCTCCGTGCTGACGCGCTCACCTATAAATAACAGCGGTGACAGGTCGCCTGTCAGCACCCGCTGATGGACGGCGCCTGCTCCTGCCATTACAGCCTTGTGACTGTGGGAAAATTAATTTAAGTGGTAGTTAATTTCTAATGAATTCCACTCAGGCGGCTAATGTGGTCCCTCGGTGTTATGGTAACCTTCACGGATCATCGCATTATGTAAATAAATTCTACTTTATGCTGGTTTATTAAAAAAGAGTGAAGATCGGGAAGTCTGCAAAATCTCTGCAGTGCCCACAGCTGGCATGGCGGGGACGCCTTGAGGAGGGAAACCAAACCACCAGCAGTTTGCCAGGAAGGCCGACTTGCCCAGACTGGCTGACCTGCCGCTTTAGGGCTCTCCCACTTCTGTGCAGTTGTTGCTCCATCCCAGGAGAGAGGGGAATTTCTCCCATGAGCCCAGGGATGCGGCGACGCGCCGTGGGGAGCATCTTGCTCTGAAAGCTGGGGGTGAGGGCGAGCTGGCAGGGCCTTGTCCAGGAGACTGGAGGGGGTCGAGGTGGGGGGAGGGGACGAGGGGGGCAGGACAGAGGTGGGGGAAGCTGGGGGCCAGCTCCCCAGCGGGAGACAGCCTTGGGTGTCCCATGGGCTTGGGGTAAGTGTGGGTGTGTGAGCCCCTGGGGGAGGCTCGGGGCTTCGTCCCGTCCAGATGGGGGTACTGAGGCCACCAGGTCACAGCAGAGGCCGAGCCAGGGCAGTTTCCCACAGCTCATACCGAGTGCGTGTCAAACCTGCTTGTGTCTAGCCAGGTGGCCTGCTGCGTGCCGGGCCTCTCCAGGCTGGGCCTCTCCCTGGACCCTGCAAACTCTTCACCCCCGTCCATCGTGCTGGAAGCCGCCCCCACCCACTCTGAGCCCCTCCCAGCCCTCCGGGAGCCCTGGGCTCTCTCCTGTGCTGGCACCTGGGCCTCCCGGGGCTGCCCCGCCTGGGTCCTGAGGCCGTGGTCCTGGAGCCCAGGGCTCTGCCCACGTGTGTTCTGGTCACCCAGGGCAGGCGCTTACAATAACAACAACCTCTACGTTCTCCTGTGTTGGGGCGACAGGGCTGAGGGCCCCATGCAGTGGCCGTCAGCCAGCGGCGGGCTGGGTCCTCCCAGGGTGATTGCTTTCGCTCCTGGCACCTGGCCACGAAGTCGCCATGGGCCCCCAGCTCCATGAGAAAGGTGTCTCCCTGGGCACCTGGGGCCGCGGAGGCCCAGTGCAGCTGTGGGGGTTTCTGGGCCAGAGCAGAAGCTGAGGCCCCCACAGTGCTGCCCAATCCCGTCCACGGAGCGGTCACAGAAACCACCCACGACCTCACCCTCGAATAGAAGAGGCTGCAGAATGCAGGGTCAGGCTCCGAGGTGGCTCGGTGTGTGTGCTCACCTCCCCAGGCCAGCTCCAGATCACATCAGCCACATGGCAGGTCTGCCTTGGAACACTGACCCTGGCTGACATAGCCACAGCTGTGTCAAGTGGGTCATGGTCCTGGGCCTCCCAGGTTTCATGGTCACCTGATTCTTCTTCTGACACAGGGAGGCTGGCTTTGAGGGGCTGGGGAGGTGCTCAGGTCCACAAGTTCCTAAGTGGACTGTCAGCTCTGGCAGGAGATAGCTTAGCTGCCCTTGCCAGAGGATGGGATGGGGACGTGGTCCCATGTCCTCTGTGGCCACGTGATTTCCTGTGAGGCCTGTGGTTCCTGAGGCTGGGTGGGCACAAGCTCAGTGATCCCCAACAGGGCACTGTGTAGGGGTCACACCAGGCTAAGCTTGGCCTGAATGTTCTGGACTTTTGGGGAACTCGGAGCAGCAGGAGGTGGTGGGCAGTCGGTCCCTCTCCTGAGGAAGTCACCAGCCAGGGGACTCGCAGGTGGGGTGCCGGTGACCTGGGGAGACCCAGCTTTCAGGGCTGGGAGGTGGGTGAGTGCCCAGTACCCTGGCCACTGGGGCAGAGACCGACTCCGTCCCCTCTGCTCCCGGTGGTGGCCTTGACCACGTGGCCTCTGCTGGTGCCTCCGGCTCACCTGTCACTCCCTCTGGGCTGCCGCTACCCTGTCCCTGCACTGGTGATACAGGGGAAAGAACTTCCAACCTGAAAGCTTTCTGGGATGGGTTCATGTTCTCTAAACTCGGAGAAATTAAATTTTAGGAACAATGGAGGGTAAGAGCAGAATATATTTATTGGGGAAAGAAAGCTGCTGTCTGAGAGAGACAGAAGGGGACCCGAGTGAGTTGCCAAGGACCCTGCCTTTCCTAGAGATTTTATAGAGCAAAACCAGAAGGTCAGGTGGGCCCAAGGTGGGAAACATGGGAACTCACAAAGTGGATATGAGGTGGGATAAAACTAGAGTCAACCAATAAAATTATAATTGCTCAGGTAAAACTGATTAACTCAGGATCAAATGGGGAAGCAAGTCACCTAGCAAGCGGGCATGAATACAGAACAGGGGATTTTCCTGTAGGGGGCTGGGTTAGTGACTCTTCCTTTTTTTTTTTTTTTCTTGTCTTTTTTCAGGATGATGGTAACCTATTTAGAGTATCAATCCTGATGTCCATTCCTAAGGAAGTATGTGGGTGCATTTGTTTTGTCTTGAGGCCTGGCCCACAGTAGGAGAGCCTGTCTTTCCACAGTTGCAAGGTGTCTTGTCTTCCACACTGGCTCCTTCCAAGGCCCAGCCCGGTCTGCCTGCCTATATTTGCAACTCAGCGGCCTACTCAGCACTGTTGGTAGCTGTCTCTTGCCTGATCTCTGACTGGGTCTCAACCTTCCGGTCCTGGGCTGGGAAGAGGAGGAACCACCAGAGTCCTGTGTGTTGGGTTGTACTCTCCTGGTACTGCAGGTAGCTGAGTTAGACAGAAATATTATAAGCTGTCAGACAGGGCTAGGCCCTCGAAGGAGCCAGTATGGAAGACAAGATGCCTTGCAAATGGAGAGGCGGTACTTGCTGAGAGCAAGATTAAACAAACACACCCACATACCTCCTTAGGGATGGACCTCAGGGGTTGATATTCTAAATAGGTAGCAATTACCTTGGAAGAATCACTCACAGGAAAAGCCCCTGTCCTGTATGCATACCCACTTGCTATGAGACTCACTTCCCCATTCGATCCCGATTTAATCAATTTTACCTGAACAATTCTTGTTGGCTGATCATAGTTTTGTCCTACCTCATGCCCACCTAGCGAGTTCCCCCATGTTTTCCACCTTGGACCTGCCTCAATTCCTGGATTTGCTCTATAAAAATCCCTAGAGAAGAGAGATTCCTGGGCAACCCACTTAGGCCCACGAACTCATTCCAGATATCCTTCAGGTTGGGAGTTTCTTTTTCCCCTATATAAACAGGACCCCAGGTCACACTGCTGGTGACGGGCAGTGTTGGAATTCAAGACCAAATCTTGAGCCAGGATGTGACTGCCTTTCAAGTAGGACATTGGACACCAAAGTGGACGCATAGGAGGGGCGGCTGTGATAAGACCTTGGCCTGACAGAGAGAGAAAGACCGAAGGCTGACAGACCACAGTTCTTGACAGCGGGTGCCAGGGCCTTGGTCATGGGGAGGAAGGTTCGGCTGGGTGAAGGTTGCCGGTGCCGCCTATCAGGACCTGCAGCAGCTCATCCCAGGAACACTGGGCCCCCCAGTGATACAGGGGAGAAAAACTACCAACCCGAAAGGTATCTGGGACTGAATTTTAGGAACAACGGAGGTTAAGAGCAGAATATATTTATTGAGGGAGAGAAAGCTTCTGTCAGAGGGGAACGGAAGGGGGCCCAAGTGGGTTGCCTAGGAATCTGCCTTTTCTGGCAATTTTTATAGAGCTAAAGCACAAGGTGAGGTGGGAAACAAGGGAACTTGCAAGGTGGGTATGAGGTGGGACAAAACTATGGCTAACCAATAAGATTACAAGTATAATTGCTCAGGTAAAGTTGATTAAATCAGGATCAAATGGGGAAGGGAGTCACAAAGCAAGCGGGCACGAATACAGAACAGCAGCTTTTCCTTTAGGGAGTTGGGCTTAGTGACTTCCTGGCTTTTGCAAGGTGACTGATGCCTATTTAGAATATAAATCGCTGAGATCCATCCCTAGGGAGGTATGTGGGTGCGTTTGTTTCTTTTGTCTTGAGGTCTGGCACACAGTGGAAGTGCCTGTCTCTTCCACAGCTGCAAGGTATCATGTCTTCCATACCAGCTCCCTGGAGGGCCCAGCCCTGTCTGACTGCCTATAGTATTTCTAACTCAGCTGCCTACAACACTGTGTGCCTCAACTTCCTAGTCTGTAAAGTGGGAAAGCATGGAAAAGTGTGTGAGAATTACCATGTCAGCAGGGAGTCAGAAGACCATGACACTGAACAACGGTGCAAGATTTTACTGGTTACTATCTTTCTGCTCGTCTGTGTCATCAGTCGTGTAAATACATGCCATCCCTGCGCTTCCTAGGTTTCACAGTAAAAGCGTTTCTTCATAAAAAATAACCCTTCGGAACAACTGAATCATGCACCTCCCTGGCTGCAGGCTGCAGGCTGCAGGCTGCGTGTCAAGGGCCTAGCCAATGCACCGTGGTGCTCTGGAATCAGTAAACGGCCAGAGGAACCTCAAGTTCCCTGGGTTTGCAAGATTTAACAACCTGGGGTTCACAGCAGGTGGCCACGCAGGTCCCTGAGACCCTCCTTCCAAGGAGCACAGATCCCTCTCAGCTTATCAACACTGACAAAGTTTCCCCAAAGGCTGGGACCGCAGTGCTTTCCCCAGATAGTGTAGATTCCTCGGTGAAGCCACCAGGGTACAGGCATTTTTCTGAGCGGACAACTGACTAGGACTTTCTGAAAGCACCAACTTGCCGTCCTAAGGCACATCAGCACCCCAGGCCGAGGGGGACAGACAAGCTTAATGCTAAACAAAATGCATTTATTCATAACCAAATCTAGTTTCCTTTGAGTTACAGATGCTGTGACTGTCCTTCACTCTTGTCCTCACACAGGACTTCAGTGACTCGAGTTCACATCCACCTCGGGTACAGGAGGGCCTGCGGACTCCGCCCTGTCGGGAGAACTTGCACTCTGAGGCTGGGCATGAAACTAGCTTTGCCTTCCCCGTACGGTGCACCCTCCTGCCCAGCACACACGCTCCTGCAGGGAGAGAGAGCTCCTTTCCGCCCGGCTCTGGCCTGTCCGTCTGTATGTGGGTGGTAAAAAGAACTGAAAGGCCCGGGAGTTGAGTCGACGAGCCCCATGACCCAAACGTGCGCGGCCACAGAGCCCTTAAGCTGTACTTTTCTTTGATGAGGCCAAGACGGTTCTCCAGGCGCCGCTCGGGCGCGGGCTACAGCATCTGCCGCTGCTTGTGCTTGGGGTTGCTTTTGCAGAGCACGTACCAGCGCCCGCGCCTCTTCACCAAGTAGCAGTCCCGGCACCGCTTCCGGAGCACGGCCTTGGTCTTGAAGCCCAGTGCGGGCGGCGGCGGCGGCTGGGGCCCGGCGGGCGCGGGG